GAATAGCCGACTGTCAACATAATTATAGAGTGTAATTTATTTTCAACTCAAAATATCTTCAAACTAATGAAATATAAAGTTATTAGGGAGGAAAACCCCGTCTGGATAACAGCAGACTGACTGCTGGTAAAATATACGACAGGTCTGGACCACTCGTGAATTTTGTTCGTATCTGAAAAAAATATTAGAATACGAAAACATTGGTGAATGCCACAAATTCTCCTAAATCACTCGTACGCACAACTTAAGAACAAATCTGTGCGTACGAACAGTTCTTGAATGAGGCCCAGTGTTTGAAAAGACTAAGTGCAAATAAAGTATTTCRACATAAAACAGGAGAMTACAGTCTAGTAGCCAGGATAACTGCTAGTCGGCCAAATCAAATGGCTTGGCGGGCCAAATTTGGCCCGCGGGCCACACTTTGGGCACCTCTGCTCCAGACACAAATAAGTGAAAATATAATATTATCTGAACAGAAAGTGCACATGTTAATGAAAAGTGCCCCTCTGAGGTTTATTAAATACTAATGACACGAGGAGCTGAAGAAATGAAATGATCACTTACAGAAACCAGCTGACATGTGAGAATGAAAATAAGTCCACAGCTCCAGGAGGTCGGGTGGCCCATTTTCCCTCTAACCCGGCAGAGGTCTGCAACCGCTGGGGGAGAAAAAAAACTTGGTCCTTCACTCCCTGTGTCCACCGAAAAGAGCCGCTCCTTCCTCCCACTTTTCTTTTGTGTGAATAACAGCGGCTGCTCCTCACCAACAGGTAACAAACTCTCCCCCTGCAGCGCTGCTTTTCTTCAGCAGGGCTGCTGCAAACACCGACCCACGAGACGAGACCCTCCGAAAGCTTGTCCTCCTCCTTCAAAGTCAGGACTTTGAGTTAAGTCGCTGGGAAGTCCTGAGCAGCAGAGAGAGCGAAGCCGACAGAGTAAAAGACGGAATGGAATCCAGGGAGTGCTGCGAGAAACCACAGCTGAGGGAGGGAGGGGGCGCAGGGGCGTCTGCAGGATCCTTTTGTCGGGGGGCCACTGAAAAACCAGGGGTGGCACACCAAAACTAATGTCTATAACAAAACTTTTATGATATGGTTGTAAAAATGACAATTTGAAAGATATGGAAATTTAAAATCAATTATATTCAAAAAAATTATTCATGTCATTAAAAAAATAACTATGTACAATAAAAAATAAGGAAAATACAAAAATCAAAATAAAGTGAAAGGTAGCAGAAGAAGAATAAATCTTATAATGTCTGCCCCTTTTGTCCTCAGAACATATTCAAACAAAACATAATTGACAAAACAATACTAAATAAAAAAACCAACATAAAAACATCAACTCAAACAACAACAACTCATATAGCTTCACATTTTACTTTTCATATACCTAAAAAAAATAGCTTTTATCTGTCTCTTAAATATATACTGTACAAAGATCTGGCTTTTTAAAGATCATCCTCCAGACCAGTGTTTCCCAAAGTTGGGGTTGGGACCCAAAGTGGGGTCCTGAAACATCAAGGTGGGGTCCTGAAAAGATTTTCTGAATTAATTACATTTTTGCCTTAGTTGTAACAAAGGAGTGCAGTTAGTACATTTAAAATGGATAAATGTCGTATAAAAATATTGTTACTATGCCTATGTTTTGTTGACC